AAAAGCTGTCTCGGGTTGGTTGGTTGGGCTTTATTAGGATAATTCACACCAGATTGCAGAGAGTACTTACAAATCGATCAGCAATCAAAGAAATCGGCACATCACGTGCCTCACCGCATGCATCTGCCATTTTCATCATGGTTTCTACATAGCGGGATGTAATCAGCTGCTGTACTTCATTTGAGAGGTCCTAAAGAGGCGCACTAGGAAGTATGGAAGACAACTTTAGCGAGTGTCCAAGATGTGAACCACAACAAATATTGAAAGGAGACTACGTCGAAATCTCAATCAACGTACAATTTCCTTCTTGATTTCAGCCTTTGACAGAGTGTTTCGATTTCTCAATTCCTCACAAATTTCTTCCACAGCCTCCTTCACAGTATCCACGAACTTAGTGATCTTTAGCATACTCACCTAAACGCGTTGCTAAGTCACTTTTAAACTTGAAGAATTCAAAAAAGACAACTCACATGACGCGAATCCAATGTGAGAGCATGTAGACCATTTTCAGGAAGACGATTCAAAAGCAATGAATTGAAGGAGTTGTAGTCGAGACCTTTGATAGAAAATTAACATTTCACAAAGAAAGGGAGAAGAAACACCATGCTACAAAGCTTACGATGTCGATACTGCAAAGGCGTGGATCGTTCGAATATAGTGGTAAAGTTTGCCGGAAGTGTTGATGGTTCGATTTCCTCTAGTGGACCTGAAAAACACCATTGTAGGGGAAAAGTAGAGTATCCAATTTGTTTCACGGATTTGAAACAAAGAACCTTATCAAGGCAGAAACGGAGTACAATCTATAAAATCTGGAAAGGAGACTAAGTACTTAACAATATTCTCAAAAAAAGGATATCGACTCACTGAAGGTAGGCATAACAGGATCAAAAAGATTTAGAACGAACTGAGCAAATGTTGCCAGATTTACAGCGGACAGTGCTAAAATGTTTTGCAGTAATTAGAAACTAAGGCAAACAAATGAATTGGTGGTCTAAACACTGACCAGAAAAAGCAAAATTCCCTTACCCGTTGCCTCTCCAATGATAATATCTAATGCTAACGCATTTAGCACTTCAGCAGTGTCTGATGAGTAGACCGCTGCAAAATGAGAAACACATCTTCAACTAGCAGACGAAAATTTGTTCACCTACCTAGACTCACAGACTCTCCATGATTGCACGCTGGGAGTGTAAGGGGCTCTGCACTGCGATTGTTATCCAATTTTATAGGTACAAAACTTGAGGTAATATCAACAGCAACGCTAAAAAAAATTTATATCGCATAGGGTATGGACACCTATCAAAGGATTAAGCTTAACTAACACTAGTATAGGAGGAGTCGGCGACTTGCAGCGTCGACGCGATAGGCCACTAAAGACACATAGGACGATTAGAGGGCATAGACAGACAAGCAGCATTCAAGGCAAAAAATAGTAAACCAATTTTAAACAGATTGAATAGTTTACAAAAAATTTTGCTCAATGACATTCCCTTTCAAATCAATCTTCACAAATCATTTTTTCTACAACGCGTGTGCAACCAAGTTTTCAAGGAACTATGCTACGACCCCTTTTTGGTGGTTTATCATAAGAAGGTGAAGCTCACATGCAGCAATTATGAGATTTGCGAGCATACGACTAAGTATCTATGTGCTATTCTTTCATAAACATTGTCTCACTGACGAGAAGATCATTGCGCTTTCAAACAA